GCTATGCCTGGTGCTGCTCCTGGCATGCCCTCCTGCACTCTCCACTGAACCAGGGTTAATCCCCTGGCTTGATGGTAATGGTTGAGTGGGGGATATGCTGTGCCATGAAGTTACAGATTGTGCTGGAACATAATTCTGCAGCTGTTGATGGCCCACAGCACCTCATGGATGCCCAGTCTTGAGTTGCTAGATCTGTGCGAAGTCTGTCCCATTTAGCACAGTGATAGTGCCACACAACATGGTGGAGGTTGTTCTCAATGTGAAGGTGGGACTTTGTCTCCATAAGGACTGTGCGATGGTCACTCGTACCAATACTGTCATGGACAGATGCAACTGCAGCTGGCAGATTAGTGAGGATGAGGTCAGGTATGTTTTTCCTCTTGTTGGTTCCCTCACCACCTGCCACGGACCCAGTCTAGCAGCAATGTCCTTTAGGACCCGACCAGCTCGATCAGTAGTACTGCTGCTGAGCCACTCTTGGTGGTGGACATTGAAATCCCCCACCCAGAGTACACTTTGTGCCCTTGCCATCCTCAGTGCTTCCTCTCGGTGTTGTTCAACATTGAGGGATACTGATTCATGAGCTGAGGGGGGACGGTACATGGAAATCAGCAGGATGTTTCCTTGCCCATGATTAACTTGAAGCCATGAGACTTCATGGGGTCCGGAGTCAATGTTGAGGAATCCCAGAACAACTCCCTCCCCACTGTATATCACTGTCTTACCGGTGGGACAGGACATATCCACGGATGGTGATTGGGACACTGTCTGTAAGGTATGATTCTGTGAGTATGACTATGTCAGGCTGTTGCTTGTCTAGTCTGTGAGACAGCTCTCCCAATTTTGGCACTAACCCCCAGATGTTAGTGAGGAAGACTTTGCAGGGTCAGCAGGGCTGTTTCAGCCGCTGTCTTTTCCGGTGTCTGCTTCGATGCCAGGTGATCCATGCGGTTTCATTTCTTTGAGTCTTTATAACGATTGGTAGAACTGCGTGGCTTGTAAGCCATTTCAGAGGGCAATTGAGAGTCAACCACATTGCTGTGGGTCTGGAGTCACAGGTAGACCAGACTGGGTGAGGGTGGCAGATTTCCTTCCCTGAAGGACATTAGTGAACCAGATGGGTTTTTCCGATGATTGGCAATGATTTCATGGTGATCAGTAGATTCTTAATTCCAGACTTTTTAAAAAAATTATTGAATTCAAATTGCAACATCTGCTAAGGTGGGATTTGAACCCAGGACCCCAGAACATTAGAGATAACAAGGTGTAGAGCTGGATGAACACAGCAGGCCAAGCAGCATCAGAGGAGTAGGAAGGCTAACGTTTCGGGCCTAGACCTTTCTTCAGAAATGGGGGAGGGGAAGGGAGTTCTGACATAAATAGGGAGAGAGGGGGAGGCGGATAGAAGATGGATAGAGGAGAAGATAGGTGGAGAGGAAACAGACAGGTCAAAGAGGTGGGGATGGGGCCAGTAAAGGTGAGTGTAGGTGGGGAGTTAGGGAGGAGATAGGTCAGTCCAGGGAGGACGGACAGGTCAAGGGGGCGGGATGAGGTTAGTAGGTAGGAGATGGGAGTGGGGCTTGAGGTGGGAGGAGGGGATAGGTGGGAGGAAGGACACGTTGGGGAGGCGGGGATGAGCTGGGCTGGATTTGGGATGCGGTAGGGGGAGGGGAGATTTTGAAGCTTGTGAAATCCACATTGATACCATTGGGCTGCAGGGTTCCCAAGTGGAATATGAGTTGCTGTTCCTGCAACCTTCGGGTGGCATCGTTGTGGCACTGCAGGAGGCCCAGATGGACATGTCGTCTGAGGAATGGGAGGGGGAGTTGAAATGTTTCGCGACTGGGAGATGCAGTTGTTTAGTGTGAACCGAGTGTAGGTGTTCTGCAAAGCGGCCCCCAAGCCTCCGCTTGGTTTCCCCGATGTAGAGGCCACAACGGGAACAGCGGATGCAGTATGCCACATTAGCAGATGTGCAGGTGAACATCTGCTTGATGTGGAAAGTCTTCTTGGGGCCTGGATGGGGGTGAGGGGGGAGATGTAGGGGCAGGTGTAGCACTTCCTGTGGTTGCAGGAAAAAGTGCCGGGTGTGGTGGGGCTGGAGGGGAGTGTGGAGTGGACAAGGGAGTCACAGAGAGAGTGGTCCCTCTGGAAAGCAGATAAGGGTGGGGAGGGAAAAATGTCTTTGGTGGTGGGGTTGGATTGCAGATGGTGGAAGTGTCGGAGGATGATGCGTTGGATCCGGAGGTTGGTGGGGTGGTATGTGAGGACGAGGGGGATTCTGTTTTGGTTGTTATTGCGGGGAGGGGGTGTGAGGGATGAGTTGCGGGAAATGCGGG